AGATATAAAAAATACAACATGAATTCTGTTTATTTTATTGCAATGCACTTTACCAAACAGAACTCTTTAGATTATAATTAATTGAATATGTTAGGTACTTAAAACAAATCGTAGCTATAATAGTAGAAATATTATTTTACCTGTGGACAATATTCAAGATACCTGCGACAATTAAACACACATTTACAGTAATATACCCTTTTAGCAACATAGTTTAAGTTGAGGATTTTTCTCAGTGTAATTATCTGTAACATTCTGTGTAGGCTTAACATAAGCAACTATCAATGTTCATTAGGAATAGAAATTATTATACAGGCATCTAATATCTAGAATATTGAAGGTGCAACCTATAAAACTAGGAGATATTTGTATAAGTTACAAAATATCTACAACGTAGCATTTGCAAGAAGATCCCGAGTGGTTTATAAGAAAATCAATGTTCAATATGACCGGGGGAAATCCAGTGCCATTGGTGTCAAGACTATATTACTTTAAAAGGTACGTTGCAATGTAATGCATATTGAATTATTTTCTATCATACGTCGTACGTCCCTTGATGATTGCACAAATAGACTTCACACAAAACCACAACGAGGTAGCTAATTTTCAACCTCTAATTATTCTATTTTAAAAAATCGGTTATATTAGTAAAACCGATATGTTCCTCTGTTAAGGAAAACCGTAAACTCATATAGATGAATAATTTACTTTACATAGTTTCCTAGTAATTTGTAGGTACTATGAAATGACTTATTTCACGCTAAGATAAATAAACTTTTCACAATATAATTAGCTTAAAAGTTTATTTCGCGTAATGTGACGCAAGTCATGCTTTCATAGTACCTACAGATTAGTAGGTCACTCTATACCAAAAACTGAAAAGCAACGCCTTGTGCCAGAAGGATAGACACTGAGTAGCAGTGAGAATTAAGACATGTAGTACACTTTGTAGGTTAAGTATATCTCATCTACATTTCAAATTATCACTAACGTACATGCACAGCTCACATAATTTTCAAGATATACATAAATTTGCACATTTAAAATGAAAATCATAGTTATTTTTTTATTTGGTAAAAAATCATGAAATAAAAATATTATATTATTGATTTCGAACTAAAGACAGAATTTAGAAATACGTGCATCAATTTTTTAGGATAAGTTCGTAAAAAATAAGGTATGCATAGGTTTATATATTATATAAAATCAGAAAAAAAATTCAACTTATATTTAAATAAAATGCACTTTAAATATTTTACGGACATAGGCATTTCTCAATTTTATCACCGATTATCTACAGCTTTGCCGACATTGAAGAGATATTATTACGTCTAAATATAAAAACCTATAAATATGCGTTAAAATTTTTAAGATGGCATGTGAAAAATTATGGGGATTAAGGGAACTGGTAAACAATATTTTTCCCGAGAGAAAATTTAGATTATAATTTATTTCACATTCAAGGTGAAACAGTGGTTTTATGTACATGTTTCATTAATGAAAAATCTGTTATTTACGAATATTTTTCAGTCTTCCGTACTGTTACGACACAGTAATATCAGCGACTCCTATTTAATCGATTTTTCATGCCATTTTAATGAACCAGAACATACGAGAACAAATGCATAAAAGAGAAAGATCACAGATATTATGTTTCTCATGAAGTTGGTAATTATTATTATTATTATTATCATTACACGCCAATTTGAACTTGAAATTTTATCGAAAGTGCTATTTTTTACCATGTTTTGATTATCTGTAGCAGTAATATTGAAAATAAGTAATTGAGATTGCCAAATATTTAAAATAAATTAAAAAAGGCTTTTCTAAAATATTGTGTTAAATTGAAACAAAATTATTTTAAACAGAATGATTTTTACATAAAAAAATTGTATTTTTTATCACTTTTTTTATAAACATTTAGATTATCTCCAAAACCACGCATAATATTTAACCATAAAAAGTGTGACTGTCTAGCCAATTAAAACACATTTAAAAAAAATGTTTCTACGCCCTTTTGGTAGCCGAGTTAGACGTTTTTTTCAAAAATCCACAGTGCCTCTGTAAAAATCAAAAGGGCCCCTGGCAATAAATCAAAATTCCATTTAAATACAAAGCCAAGAGGTTCTAAGCTTTAAAAATCGACTTTCTAAACCTTTTTTGTTAATAACTTTCGAAGAGACAAAAGGTTAGTTATGTATTTCTGCCTTACGGGATAAAAAATAGAATTTTGCAAAAACCATTGGGCCCACAGCGCCCACCTTTCGCATAGTTTTGTAGAACAATAAAATACAACTTTTAGGCATATTTATAAAATTCCAACAAATAACAACCAAGTTATGGATCATTTAAAAAATGCTGTTTTTCCACGTTTTTTTATGATTTTTTTTTTGGAATAATTTCTAAAGAATTTATCTGATTTTAATCTATTAGGCGGCATTTTGTATAGGTCTTTTTATTACGCATATTTCGTCTGTTGAACACTTAAATAGTTTATTAATATTAAGTTTATTATTATCCAAAAACAACAAACCTACCCGTCAATATTGAGCGATACAAGCAGATCCTCAGTTGTAGGCGTAAAGTATACAGGGATGGCCAGAAGTACGGAATAAAATTCATATCTTTTGAATGAGTTAATTTTTTTAAACGCCGAAACACGTTAACTGATTTTGATTTTTTTCCATCTTTCGGTTATATAATAATTAATTTTTCTTCAATCCCCTAAAGCTACCCCTACCTTTTTTCAAATGGAAACATAAGGCATTAGAGGGCTCGTTGAAATGCTTAAAGAAAACCATACCATACCAAATAAACATCTACTTAAGAGTGAAATAAAATTTAATTATCTTCAGTGTTATCCTCCATGAATTTTCACAGAATAAAATAAAGAATTTGAAACTGTACCTATCACTACTAACGCAAAAAAGATATATTTTTTATGTTGCGTTTTTTTGGTACCACTTACTTGCCAGGCTTTCTGGTTAATTTTTCGCTTTAATTGTAAATTGGAGTTTGAAACGTTATTGTGTCAAAATCAAGTTATTTACTGAATTGCAATGGTATTGTCGGAAAGGCAACGCATCGAAATCTTGATACTGCTTGGATGTGTAGACAAAATAATAAGTCAGGCTGAAGTGCGCGATTTATTTAATGCGAAATATCCCGAAAACCAAATCTCGCAAGGGACATAGTAAAATATTTCACAAATTTGAGGAACACGGTACAGTACAGACTTTGCCCAAAACTGGACGGGTACGTGCTTTTTGAATGAAGAAAAGAAATTAGACATTGCATTAGAACTTGTTCAAAATCCTCATACCTCAACTGCTTCATTGGCCCGCAATCACGATGCTTCTCGAACTGCAATTCGAATGTTTCTGAAACAAGAGAAATACCACCCCTATAAGGTATGTCTTGTCCAAGAGCTTTTGGAAGACGATTATGATAGGCGATTACAATTTTGTGAAGAAATGATGAGACGGTGTGACGACAATAATGGTTTTCAACGAGACGTACTTTTTTCGGATGAAGCTACGTTCTATTTAAATGGAGTGGTTAACAGGCACAACTATCGCTTTTGGTCCCAGGAGATCCACACTGGACATGCGAATCGCATACGCAGCATCCACAGAAAGTTAATGTATGGGCAGGTATCATCAACAACAGAAACTTGGGCCCATTCTTTTTTGAAGAAAATCTTACTGCCGCACGCTACCTGGATTTCCAAACATTTGACCTGATACCTGCTCTAGCTGTGATTTTCCCTCATGAAATTGATCCAGATATACCCCACATTTTGGTATTGATGGTCGAAGATACTTAGATGAAATGTTTCCAAATCGCTGGATTGGTAGACGGGGTACAGTTGAATGGCCGCCAAGATCCCCCGACTTAACACCCCTGGATTATTTTCTTTGGGGATATTTGAAAGAGAGTCTACCAGGACAGACCGGATAATATTAAGAATTTAAAGAACAAGATTAGGGCGGAGATGCATAATTTACCAGCTGAAGTCATTCAGAATGCTGTGGACAACATTACTATCGTCTTGGAGAATGCCAAATAGTGAATGGAGGACATTTTCAGCATTTTCGACATTGAGTTTATTTTTGTAAATTATCTAGTTGTTTCAAATTCTAAATGAAAAACAACTTGCTATTGAAAAAATAAAATTTGTTTATTTGGTATGGCTGGATTCAGTTTTCTATAAGCTTTTCAACGAGCCCCGTCATGCCTTATGTTTCCATTTGAAAAAAAAAGTAGGGGTAGCTGGGGGTTAAGGGGTTGAAGAAAAATTAAATTATTATATAACCGAAAGATGGGAAAAAATCAAAATCAGTTAACGTGTTTCGGCGTTTTAAAAAAAATTAACTCATTCAAAAGATATGAATTTTATTCCGTACTTCTGGTCATCCCTGTATACTTCGAGTGAGTGCGAGAGAGACGCAGTATACGGAGGCGGCCAAGAGAGGCCGAGAAACGCGGCGCGCGCGCCTTATTAACAATAAAAAAAACAAGTCCTCAGAATAAAATATGCCGGCGTAACTCTTCGGATTTTTGTTAAGGGATGTTCAAAGATTATTTAAGAATTTTAGCAACACTAAAAATTGCAATTTTTAATATAGTTTATAGACGTTAAAAATGGTTAAAATCGTGTTTTTTTCGAACAAAAAATCGTTAATATCTCGAAAACGGTAAATTTTAGAGGAAAGTTGCATAGGAACTTTTTTGTTCAGGATACCCCAAAAAGCTTAAAAAATATTTCGAGTGAAAAAACGAAAAATACGAATTTGTCTAAAAAAAACTGTTTGACCATTAGTAACGTCTGGTAACATGCGGATATGTTTCAAGGGTCATTTTTTTTAGTAAGATTATGAAAAAAAATCGAATGAGAATCATGTTCCTAGCGGGAGCGACGACGATACAGCCTGGACTATATTGCTCCGACATTGGAACAACCAAAATATAAAAATTGGTAATATTTTTTTTTGTTACAGTGTCAGTCGTTGTGGCCTTCTTCATTTGTTGGGCCCCTTTCCACATCCAGAGGGTATACTGCGCTTACAACCGCGACTACTCCGAATACAGCGAGAAGGTCTACATTGTGGTCACATACATCAGCGGCGTACTCTACTACCTAGCTACCGCCATCAACCCCATACTTTACAACATCATGTCGGTCAAATTCAGGGAGGCCTTCAAGGTGCGTAAGTAGGTTGAACTACATACAATCAAATTCTATTTAATACTGAATCTGAATACATAATATTTTCGTTAAAGTTAATTTCTGGAAAGCCTGTACAAGTTTTCAAAGCAATTGTTCAAAACGTGGTCGGCCTACCCGCTGAAATCGATTACAGGTCAGATAATTAGTCTTTTGCATAGAAGGAGGTGCCCTTTTGGTAATGCCATGTCATAACAAAATCCCACTTCTCACAACAACGGAAATGTTATCTTTAGCGGAGTCGCCTCGGGCGGCAGTCATCTCTGTGCAGAATTTATATTAATCTGATTTTATTATTTATGAGAAGGGCCCCAGTATTTGTCAGTTTGTCCGAAATCTTGGCATGAGCATTTATTTCAGCTTGAATTATTTATATCTACTGAAATTTAATTAAACCAGAAGTTTGTAAATCCTATATAAATTAATTTCGAGAATTTACATTGCCCCTTTCTATGTCCATGTCATAACTTCAAACAGATTATTCTTTGGATAATTTTAGGCTTAAAAAAATTAAGCAGCCAAGGATTGAAAGGTCTGAAGGTCTTACACGAACATTGTCGCTGATCTTTTGAATCCAGTCCACTGTAGTTCGACTCTTGGGAATCCATGCTCGACTCAAAGATCTTATTGAAAGAAATCAGTAACAACGTATATCGATTTACATCTTACCTTAATTTTTTTGTATATTTGAGCAGCAAAAATGAGACTCTCTCAACGGTAAAATATTTTTATTGAAAACAAAGTCAGTGAAAAAGTGTCGTCGCACTAGGGTACGAAATGCCTAAAAGCTGGCCAAAAATGAAAAAAAAGGTTCTATTTGGAATTTTTTAAGCATCAGGTTGGCAATAGGGATACTTGGGCTATTCAAATTGATCGGTGAAAACAGTTTGCCGTTTATACTGGAGTCCAAGTAACCTTATTGTGTGTCTCGTGGCTTCCTAAACGAACACAAAAGTACATCACATGTTCAAAGTGCTGTAAAAATTATTCATAATAAATTATTTATTGTCCACTTATTTTCATTATTGTTTATGCCAATTAATAATGCTTAAATTTATTACGAAAATCATTCAAAAGGGAACTTAAAAGTTATATATAAGGCACCATAAGGCTAAATTACTTATTGACCCATAATCTATGATCACTTTAATGTATAATATTATGAAAAAAACATCTGCTTAGCTGCGCTTTCAATTTTACGATATGAATAAAGCAAAAGTTGCAATAAATCGTAATTCAATTATTTCGTTAATGTCGAACAAAAAGTGAAAAGAGTATTGCACTTATTATAAAATAAGTAAAAATAATGTATGGAAAAATACATACAAGTAGAATGGTAGAAGACAATAAGTAAATAAAGAGAAAGAATACTCTAGTATGACATAGAAAAGGATAGTCGATGCATACTGACTTTATATGTAATTNTATATATATGTAGAATAGTAAATGGCAATAAGTAAATAAAGAGAAAGAATACTCGAGTATGACATAGAAAAGGATAGTAGATGCAGACTGATTTTATAATTTCAAGAATCTAATTTTGTCAATTCACAGCCCCACAAAAAAAAGTGGAATATTTGAAAGACAAGACCCTGGTATCTATATGTTTTTGGGGTCGCTGAATCCGAAGCCGGTGTCTGTTTGATCCGATCAGGTCTGCGTTAAGGTCAGTTCAAGGTCAAATGTAGAGAATCATTTGCCAACAAAGTAAACCTCTATGTCTCTATCTATACGTTTTTCGGGACGGTAAATCCGAATCCGGTGTCCGTTTGATCCGATGAAGTCTGGTTAAGGTCAATTCAAAGTCAAATGTAGAGGACCAATTGCCAACAAAGTAAACCAATGTATCTATACGTTTTTGGGGTCGCTTAATCCGAATCCAAGGTTTGTTTGACCTAATCAGATCTGTTAAGTTCCAAACTGAAAACACTCAGTATTCATTTATGCGTATTAAAATTTGAGTAACAAATAATATTAAAGAAAGAAAGTTTTAACTCTGAGCCCGTGACCTTCAACAATATTCAACAGAATAACATGATCAAATGACGAATTTTTAAAAATTGTAATCTGTCTACCTTACAATAAATTGAATTTTCGCATAATCAGTGCAGTTAAAAACTCCAATATCCACTTCCGTTAGTTTATTCCACTTTTGTCAAATTTCGTCCGCCATTTTAAATTTTTTAATTTTAATATGAAATTCGTAATCAATGTTGTCAAAAACCCTGAAACACCTATTTTTGTCAACTTATTCGACTTTGCTTAAATTTAATCCATATTGGATCCGCCATTTTGAATTTTCCAATTTTGATATCAAATTCGTAGTCAGTTGGGTCAAAAACCACAGTACACCTACTTTTGTACAATTTGGAATAAATTTTTATTTTTGGCCAGCTTTTAGGCATTTCGTACCACAGTGCGTCGGGGCGGATGTTCATTGAAGAGTCATCGTGGTGTGGAGTCGCTCGCAGGTATAAGTATCTGGACCTTGGCGCCAATCTGCCGTGGACCTTTTCCTGGAACCCTGGTGCGTCCCGCGTCTGTTCTTTGTCCGTGCAACTGTTAGACCGGTCCGGGCGGCGTCAGGCTGGCGCTCTTGACGTAATGCTTAAAATGGGTCACTTGCAGACATGTGTACTCACATATTTATAAGAAATAAGTACAGAAAATTTGTCGTAAGGTCGCTGCCACATCCTGTATAACCATTTCATTTTTAATGGCCTATACCACGTCTGAAGATGAGGTAAAGGACTAATGGTCCGCTTAAATGTGATAAAAAATACAAAAGCCTTTACTGCTTTAAATCTAGGTCAATGTGATATCTGACAACAGAAGTGTGTTTAAAGGAGCAGAGAATTTCAATCCAATTACGTTGTCATTCTCCTTCGGGTCCATCATTGAATTACGATACGATTTTTTAAAATTGAATTTCATATTTTTATAAAGCTATTATGGAACTTTATAGCACCGTAGGTTTAGGATTCTTTTTATTATACAGTACAGGTATTTTCATATATGGAATGGGCTATTTTGCTGATGCACATATTAGGATCTCGAAAAGTACAAGAGATAGAAAAACAGTAAGTAGGAAAATGGTAGACCAGCTTTAACTGTTCGTCTTTCCGAGAAATTTTGAAAAGAGGCTTAACTTCATAATTTTCATAAACTTTTTTAATCTCTACAAATTTTATCATAAGTTCTTGCGTGGACGCAGAATTTTGTTCCGGCGTAATGGTTCGGAAACATCATTTACAATTATTTTACAATGTGATAAAGTTTGACAGATGTCATGAATTCGTAAAAGTAAAAACACAGAGTACCTATCTTTTTTTCGAATTCTCTGAAAACTCGAATAGCCGGCCTGCAAGCTCATTGAAGTTAGTAGCAGAATGGTCCAAAACTATTCTCCTTTTTTCTATCTCTTATAGTTTTCGAGATCTCAATACATGCATCAGGAAAATGGCTCACCTGGTATATTTTAGTGTCATATCATACACGTCTAAATGTAAGTCTTTATTGGGATACAAGTATAAAGCTCAAAGATACTTATCCCAAAAAACGACATTCGTTGCCATGGGCTTTAATTAGAACTGTTTTTTCTATTTAAAAAAATTGTTTTATAAGCTTTCGCAATTAAGGACAATTTTTTAGTTTTCTTTGACTTTAATTGATTTTCTACCATTCGTCCATACGTCTTTATTTCATGCTAAACAAAACAAGTGTTTCTATATCAAACAGAAAATTGTCTTAAATAATAATGAATGTACAGAGATATTTTAATAAACTATTCAGAAAAAGTGTCAACTACAAAAATATTGTTTAGAAGTCAACTACATTTGTTTCATAAGTTTCTGGGATAACAAATTGTTTTTGTTACCACAACGCTATATATGTACGTTTCTTGGAAGTGATACTTACAGTCCAATTAAATGCCAATTTTGGTCAACTTGCCTGAATTTTTTATGTAAGTTTGAGGTATATAATAACAATAAGTGACAGTAATTTTTTTCAACGACCGACCAGGGGTGAAAAAAGATAAAATGAAGGGATTTTTCAAGATAACTCAAAAGCTCTTATAAAAGTTATAGAGCATAAAATTCTACATAAAAATGGTCTTTTTCTTGTACTATTAAAAATACAAATTATTGAATTTTATAATTTGTTTTTTCAATCTACTCTAAAAAAATGTAAACTATCTTTTCAGAGAAATACATATTATTTTTTAATTTTTAATAAAAAAGTTATAACAATTTCACAAAATGAACGTGATTTTTTAATGGTAAAGCAAATTTCGAAAGCAACTTTTCATTATTTTAAACAATCAATCGAATGGCATAGACAAAAACTGTTTTAGTGTTGTCATAAAAATGTATGATAAAAAAATTGAAATTGTTATAACTTTTTTATTAAAAATTAAAAAATATATCTATTTCTCTGAAAAGAAAGTTTACATTTTTTAGAGTAGATTGAAAAACATTTTTTTTTTAATTTTTGAAATCATCTCTTCTATCCACCCTAACTCTGTTAATTTTAATAGTACAAGAAAAAGTGAATAGACCATTTTTATGTAGAATTGTATGCTCTACAACTTTTATAAGAATTTTTTTCTAGCTCTTACCACTTTTGTGTTATCTTGAACAACCCCTTTATTTTATCTTTTTTCACCTCTGGCCGGGGGTTAAAATAAAGTTACTGTAACTTATTGTTATTATATACCTCAAACTAACTTATATCAAAAATTCAGTCAAGTTAACCAAATTGCGAATAAAGGCCCATTTAATTGGACTAATAGAGCAACATTTGACAGGTCTATTAAACCATTAAATGTCTCTTTCAGAAAAAATGGAAGCAGGAATTTTTATTAGGATATTCCAACGATAAATCTATGTAAATATTTCAGAAAATATTAAACATAGATTAATGAAATCTAAGTTTATAATTTAATTTAATAATTAATTAAAAGTAAATATTTACTCAATTGATGAACCATTTTATTCGGAAAAGGAAGTCACTTTTCTTTTGAGTTTTTTTAGTCCAAAACAAGCTTATCTCATAGTTGAATGGACCGACACTAACTAAAGTTACTTTCACTGGAAAGATCTATAGTTTTCTCTTTATTATAAATGAAATTTTTAAGTACAATGTGATCAAAGCCTTGAATTCGTGATCCACAGCAGTTGCTAAATTTATACATAGCTGATTTTTTTTTTAATTTGTAATAACTTTCTACTAAGACACCCAATATATTTTTTATGTAGGTGTTAGGAAATGCAAATCCCTTATATAAGAGTTTCGCAATTATTCACAATCAACACATTTTGTATATTTTAGTTACGTTTTAAGGAATAAACATAAGCATCTTATCTTTAATCTCCTAAGACTTTGTTAAGGCATATTAAAAATAAGACTATTTAAGGTGTTTTTAATGATCTCAATGCTTCAGAAAAGACAAGATAAGCAAAGTTCAAAGAAATATCTTCAAAAGAGACGGAACCATCAAAAAATAAATTAAACAAAAACGTAATTTTAAAGGTCCTTTAACATTTTAAATATTTTGGTATTGATATACACCTTGTCCCATTTGAATCGATCACACAGACCAACTTTGCCGGTTGACCTCCAGCTGAAAAACTTCTAGAACAAAAATTATAAGGTTTTAAGGTGGCCGTACGGATAATGACCTTGGTTTTGAGCCAGATGTCAAACATAGGGTTCATTTAGAGGTCAACTTCGTAATTTCAAATGGAAACCCCATTTGTTTTATCCAAAAATGGAAAAAGCAGGAGATTCTACGTTCAATGATGTATATTCGATCTTGCGTCAGACTGACCTCTAGGGGCCTTCTGAAGGTCAAATCAACTTAACTGACCTCTAAATTTGACCCCACGGCTCAAGGTTGGAGTCACAGTTAGATCATACCATGACCACGGTAGATTTGTATGGAATTTGCCACAAAAATTAATCAACCTTTGCCATAAAATGTAAACATTTCAGTGGGAAAGCTGATTTGACCTTCAGAAGGCCTCTAGGGGTCAATTTCATCCATGATTAAATATACACCTCCGAACGTAGAACTTCCTGCTCTTTCCATTTATGGATAAAACAAATGGAGTTTCCATTAGAAATTCTGAAGTTGACCTCCAAATTACTCCTAAGTTCGTTCTGGGACAAAACCAAGATCATTATCGTCCCCCTTAAAACCTTACAAATTTTATTCTGGAAGTTTTTCAATTGGAGGTCTTCTTGCAAAGTTATTCTGGGTGATCGATTAAAATGGGACCCGGTGTATTGGTATAGCTTAATTTTAATCTGAGGAATTTTTTGTCGTGACTGTATACACGAATATTTCATTTTTTTTTTTTTTTCAGGAAACGTTTTCGCGGTGCTGCGGCATAGGCCATCTGCACCACGGTAGACCCCAGAGATCTTACTCGGTGCTGTCCAAATCCAAAGTGCGCGGTCCCGACTCCACAGATTCTGGCAGCCACGATCCCACCGTACAGACGAACACGTCACTCACGCATAAGAACTCCGCCGACTCCTTCAACGGGTTGCAGATGGGAATGCGTGGGTAAGGAAAAATCCGATCAATCACCGCGTAATAAACAAACTATTCATATTGATTGTGAGTTTAGTACAGGACCGTGAAAAGTGAGATTGAACCTCGGATTGAACTTACAACAGATACAAACAATTATTTTTTCATTTTTGACTAAATTTTCTTTGTAGTTAAATTTAAATATTAATATAACACTAATTTTCTATTTTTTAAAGTTCATAGTGCTGCAACTTTATGGATAATGATTTTTTTTCTATCTGGGAAACCGCTCGAAGGATTTTTTTGAAATTGTGATGTAGTCCAAGCATTCTGTCACGGATTAATGTTAAATTTGCAGAAATTATTACCTGGACAAAAAAAATATGACCGTATAGAAAATTAAATTTTAAATTGAGTTTCTTGTTCTTTAAACTCGATCCAATATGGCGAACATGGTTAAAAAAAATCGCAAAGTTGAAAAAAACTGTTTTTCTAAAATAACTAAAAAAATATAGCACGGATTGAAAAATTTTAAATGAGAAAGTTGTAGGTTTTAAAAAGATCTATCGACAGATTTTTTGAAAGTATCGATTGCTTTGTTACTTTTCGAGATATATCGAAAAAACCGTTAAAAATCTTCTCTTTTCTCTTCTTCTATAACTCGTTTACATTTACGTGCCCATATTTGCTATTTACTGCAAGCATAGCCCGCGGCAAGCCAAAAAAGTACATTTTTGAAAAATTTAAAAATATTAATTATTTTTCGAGATATATCGATTTTTTGAAAAAAAGGCGCTCTCGAAAATTGGCTAGATCTTCTCAGCGGATAGCCCTACAGTAACGATTTTCGGTTTATTTTCTTCGTAAAGAGTTATATTATCATGCTGTTAAAAAATGTTGACGATTTTATTAATTTTAAGGATCAAAAAATGACTGAAAAAGTTGCACTTTTTTTGGGTATGTTTTTTTCAAATAACTATTTCAATTTTTATTATTTTTTTGTACTTAATCTGGGGTAGCTAAACACGAATATTATAGCATTTTCGCCTTAGAAGCAAAATAGACCCGTAAATGTTTAGTTTTCTTTCTTTAAAAGTCATTTTCATAAAATAAAAATTGAAATAGTAATTTGAAAAAAACATACCCAAAAAAGTGCAACTTATTCAAAGTCATTTTTTGATCCTTAAAATTAATAAAATCGTCAACATTTTTTAACAGCATGATAATATAACTCTTTACGAAGAAAATAAACCGAAAATCGTTACTGTAGGGCTATCCGCTGAGAAGATCTAGCCAATTTTCGAGAGCGCCTTTTTTTCAAAAAATCGATATATCTCGAAAAATAATTAATATTTTTAAATTTTTCAAAAATGTACTTTTTTGGCTTGCCGCGGGCTATGCTTGCAGTAAATAGCAAATATGGGCACGTAAATGTAAACGAGTTATAGAAGAAGAGAAAAGAGAAGATTTTTAACGGTTTTTTCGATATATCTCGAAAAGTAACAAAGCAATCGATACTTTCAAAAAATCAGTCGATAGATATTTTTAAAACCTACAACTTTCTCATTTAAAATTTTTCAATCTGTGCTATATTTTTTTAATTATTTTAGAAAAACCGTTTTTTTCAACTTTGCGATTTTTTTTAACCATGTTCGCCATATTGGATCGAGTTTAAAGAACAAGAAACTCAATTTAAAATTTAATTTTCTATACGGTCATATTTTTATTGTCCAGGTAATAATTTCTGTAAGCATTTCTCTATATTGCTTGGACTAATGGTGTAATAAGGACGGTGGGGCCTGCCAAGCTAAAATATTTTCAAGGGCATCGTACTTCCGGTTATACAGGAAGTCGATACTAACTTTTTTTAATTTTAAATGGAAGCACCTGTATATTATTGCATTTCTGGAAATATCATCTATTTTTAAGTTGAAAACATATAGCACACTCCATACTTAGGATTGACCGTTTCCGAGATATTTTGATTTTTAAGCAAAAATTGACAGATGCAGACTCTACAAAATGTTCAATTGCACAAAAAAATAAACCTATGTTTCCGGGAAAACTAAATTTTGCCGACAGTCTGCATCTGTCAATTTTTGCTTATCTCGGAAGCGGTCAATCCTAAGTATGGAGTGTACTATATGTTTTCAACTTAAAAATAGATGATCTTTCTAAAAATGCAATAATATACAGGGGGTTCCCTTTAAAATAAGAAAGTTAGTATCGACTTCCGGTATAACCGGAAGTACGATGACCTTGAAAATATTTTAGCTTGATAGGCCCTACGGTCCGTGTCACACCATCACAATTTCAAAAAAATCCTTCGAGAGGTTTTCCAGATATCCATCGATAGAGTTCGTGGCGGGACACCCCGAGGGGCGATCCGCTGATGTAATCTTCGTACGTTTGCCCTGGAATCTTATGTAATCGTTTCTGAAATCTTTGCAATCTCCTTGTAATTAAGACGTTTTAATATTTATCTTTTTGAAATTTTGTAATCATCTAAGAATCTCTTTAAAATTGAAATCTATCAAATTTTATCTGTAATCTACGTAATCTCATCTGTACTCTATGTAATCTTATCTGTAATCTATGTAATCTATCTGTAATCTATGTAATCTTATCTGTAATCCTCGCTGTAATCTGTGTAATCAGATATCGAATTTCGTCGATGTAGTCGTTATACAACGCCCCCCCACCTCAATTTCCAAAGGATGCCACAGAAACCTATATAGTGTGATTGGTGTGTCCCGAAGGGCAATCCGCTAAGGAAAAAACATACGAAGATTACAAAATTTCTGAAATCTCTTGTAATGTATCTGCAGATTTCCATATCAATTCATATAAAAAATCAAGATTACAATATCTTTCAACAGATTATAAAACATTACAGGAGATTTCAGTTATTTTAGTAGATTTCAATGATTATTTAAGATTTCAATAGGATTATTAGATATTAAAAGAAGATTTCAAAATTTCTTAATAAGGTTTCAAGGAATATGGGAAGATTACAATAAATTTTGAATGTCCATTTGAACAAAACTAATTGAATTAATTTCAAATGTCATTCATTTCATTCATTAACAATAGTACTTTGATTAAGAATTTCCAGTATCAGGAATTTTTTGGGCAAAAATTGTAACATTCTGATTAAGCTTTTGTTTGAATGAACATTAAAAACTTTTTGTCATGACAAAAATGATAATGCTATTTTGAAAGTAGGTAAATATTTTCCCAAAAACTAAATAATAAAAAATATATTAAGCTTTTATTAATACTTGCATTTAATAGTTTACTTGTATACAGCGTGTTTAAAAAAGACGCGGCAATATTTAAGGGAGTGATTGCCCAGGTCATTTTATAAAAAAAGGTCCTATAAACATAGGTCCGCAAACGCTTCGTTACCGATCTACAGAAATTTAATTTTTACTGTTTTTTTAATGAAATTTCAACACTGTAGATCGGTAACGAAGCGTTTGCGGACGTATGTTTATAGGAACTTTTTTTTATAAAATGACCTGGGCAATCACCCCCTTAAATATTGCCGCGCCTTTTTTAAATACGCTGTATACAGGTAAATTATTAAATACAAGTGTTAATAAAAGCTTAATATATTTCTTATTATTTATTTTTTGGGAAAATGTTTATTTTATGATAATTCTATTTTTTTATTTTTATTAGTTTATTGGATTATTATATTTTTATCTTTCAATAAAAATATATACTTACCTACTTTCAAAATGGCGTTATCATTTTTGTCATGACAAAAAGTTTTTAACGTTCATTCGAACAAAAACTTAATCAGAATGTTACAATTTTTGCGTAAAAATGATACTGGAAATTCTTAATCAAAGCACTACTGTTAATGAATGAAATGAATGACAGTTGAAGTTAATTCAATTATTTTTGTTCAAATGGACATTCAAAACTTATTGTAATCTTCCCGTATTCCTTGAAATATTATTAAGAAATTTTGAAATCTTCTTTTAATTTCGAATAATCCTATTGAAATCTTAAATAATCATTGAAATCTACTAAAATAACTGAAATCTCCTGAAATGTTTTGTAATCTGTTGAAAGATATTGTAATCTTGATTTTTTTATATGAAATTTGTAATCTTTTTTGAATTGATATTGAAATCTGCAGATACATTACAAGAGATTTCAGAAATTTTGTAATCTTCGTACGTTTTTTCCTTAGCGGATCGCCCCTCGGACTGTCTCTACAAAATGTTCAATTGCACAAAAAAATAAACCTATGTTCCGGGAAAACTAAATTTTGCCGACAGTCTGCATCTGTCAATTTTTGCTTATCTCGGAAGCGGTCAATCCTAAGTATGGAGTGTACTATATGTTTTCAACTTAAAAATAGATGATCTTTCTAAAAATGCAATAATATACAGGGGGTTCCCTTTAAAATAAGAAAGTTAGTATCGACTTCCGGTATAACCGGAAGTACGATGACCTTGAAAATATTTTAGCTTGATAGACCCTACGGTCCGTGTCACACCATCAGAATTTCAAAAAAATACTTCGAGAGGTTTTCCAGATATCCATCGATAGAGTTCGTGGCGGGACACCCTGTATATGTACAACCCTTTTAGAATCCCAGGATTTAATTCCAAAAGTTCTCTTTGTGGGTGTGAAACTATTCCCTTAAAAAAAAGCCCACATTTTCTTATCAAAATATGACCACTTTAATTTTCACCAGTCCCCACTGGTTTTTGTTCCTAATTTCAGAAAAGTGTTGATTAATTCTCGTGAGCTTAAATTTACTTATAACCCCTCTAACAAAAACAAAGGAATATTAAAGGTAACATACGTTTTGTTGGTATTTGTACAAACTAAACTTTAATACTCTTTTATTTGTTTAATTTTGGTACCGACTAGAATGTCAACATTTTAATAATTAACCCTTCTAAGAATACCGTAAAAACGAATTAAGTCTGCGTTATTTATAAAGTTCATCATCGAAGAACTTCGAGCTAAATTTTTAAATACATCGGAAGGACGTTTCGTGTCATTTAATTTATTTAGGTATATCCCACTCCACTTTGATTAACTTTGTTCACTTTCATAAAATATTAATACCTAAATAAAAATAGATTTACTTATACGGAGTGACACAAGTCACAGAGTCACTCCAATTGTTTCAGATAAAAGCTAGCGGGTGTCCGGACGAAGCGTGACTTCTAATCAAAAAACTTAATTGCTTTTTATTATTTTTCAGTAGTTTTCATGGCTTGTATTTACTCTTGGCAAATTTTCTGCTGTTAAACAAATAATTGTATGTTTATGTTTTTGCAACGCTCTTTTCAAAAATTAGAAAATTATCAAAGTTACTTCTGAGGCAGAGAACGATATGTCTCTCGAAACGTGAAGAAACCTAAACCGACGACGTGACAACCAACCTGGAAATTGTTCTACCAAGCTATTTTATGTTATATTAAATTTAAAATAAAAGTTTACTTATTTTCTACAACTTCTGTTTACTTTAAGTAAAAATCGCGTCTTCTTATTTGCAAAATGTGATTATTCTTCGTTTTTGCCTAACCCGTATTTAAGCATTTCTTGAGTTCACGAACAACTTTGTTAAATACAGTTTTTAACGAAACCAAAAATTAAAAGCACTTTGCTTAGGGAAAATTTCACATTCTGAAATTTTTTGGACGCCCTGTATGATTTATTACATATTTGATTACAGTTCATGGCTTCCCGAGATAAGCAAAATTTTTTATTAAGAATAACTTTTTCTCGAAAAATCAGTAATAAAAAAATTTACAAAAGTGCGGTCCTCCATCCGGGGACACACTGTATATAGCTAAATTTAATTTACAAAATCATCTTTAACGCGTTTACCTAAAAACGAACACGATGTGGTCATAGACCACGGGAAAAATCTTATGTTTTATTTTCTATCAACACTTCAATTCATAGTACTTTTTTCCAAAACGTAATAAATAAACGTAAGACAATAATCCCAATACACCCAAACACAATAGAGAAAATGCATGTGTAATAAAGCCAATAGAGAAATCTGAATTTAAAATATTTGCTATTCAGTATAAAGATAAATACCCCAGTATGTGACTGTCAATGAGCACATTTTCCATTTCAGAAGTAAATTTGTTTACCTCAATTTGAAGATACTAAACATTAATACATTACGAAAGGATGCCCACACAAATGTGTATTCAAACTTACTTTAATATCACATTTTTATTAAACGAATTTTCAATTTCCTTTAAGCGTACCATCTCATAATTTATAAACCAATTTGAAAAGCTAATAACGTAGGGGATGATTATATAATAACGAATTCTTCGTCGAAGTTTTCTAAAGCGATTTACGTTTCCAGGTACAAGCCGCAAAGGTCGTTCAAGGAACACGGCGGCATCCAAGAAGAAATCACCATGATCAACCAAAAATCCATCCCCACAGCCGCAGAGCACCAACCCCAGTCCACCATGTCCAGCCCCAGCTTGTTGAACAACCCCACCTGTCTGTCGGTGCACGTGAGCAACCCCAACCCCTCGACTCTCACCAAATTCCTTCAGTTTTTCCACTGCATAGCCAAGAAAACTCTGGACGACAGCAAACGACTGTCCTCCTATTACTCCTCTCCGGTAAAGGAGACAAATGCTCTGGAACTACAAAAGACTGGGTTTTTAGACAAGGAGAAGTGCGATAATGGAGTGCGGAAGCCTTGCATCAGCAACAGCAGCCTGAAGAATATCGAAATTGATGCCATCGAGGACGAGCTGACGGCCTATATGAAGGAGATCCGCAAGAGGGAAGCGAACAGCTAACTACTTTAAAGGCCCCCAAGGGGCTCTCAAGGATGTTGATAGAAGGAATTTGGTACTGTCTGTTCACAAACGTGCACCATTGACCAGGTTCAGGATGTGTACCAAATTTTGACCAGACAACTTTTTGATATTTCTAGGTTTTCTTGGTAGATATGAAAAATTCCCAGGTTGAGTGAATGTATAGAGTGATTCTCTTGAGGGCACTCAAGATGGAAGCCTTGGAAACGATAAGAGGTACGAAGTTGGTTAGATTGTAGAAAAATTTCTCAATGATAAGCGTTCTTGATTAACTTTTTTAATTTTCTTGTAACTTTCGTAGATCACTGCACTCCATTTTTGGTCGATTGGTCTACTGGAATTTTTGTTATTATATTTGAGACATGGCCTAATGTGAAAAAATTATATTTTGTTGTAACTGAAAATGTTTTAAGTACACTGAAAGAAATGCGTTTTATTCTTTATTAGAATTCTCTATACCATTATAAGACCATTGTATACTATATGTGACAGTTAAACAGGTGAATATTGGATATAAAACGCGTATTGCTAGCACAGTTGTATAGTGACTATAAACCTTATTCTTTATTAAATTATTGTATAACTAGTATACAACGTTTTTTATACCCTTTACGAAATAATAGCAATAACTGTTATTAAAGTGTTCCATATCGTTATTAGAACATCTAGTACTGGTTATAAGTTTTATAATAATAAATGTATTAAACTGTTGTATACTCTGTATGAGTTAAA